TGCTCTGCAATTTCATTAACCAGGAAAATTTTGAAGCATGATGGACATTCAATGTGATGTTCAACAGAGGATTGTCTTTGTTCATTACCATCATGAGTACTTGGCAATGTATTACTTGTACTTGGTCTTTGTTCATCACCACAGGTAATTGGAAATGTACTACAAGTACTTGGTCCGCTCACTTCCTCCAATGTCGTTTGTTTCCATTTGGCTTGTCTCAATCTCCGGTCATGTTGAGAGGAATGTGCGTTGTTCACGGTTTCGTCGATTATTCGATCATCATCGTCTTCACTGTCATGGTTATTGTCAGATGATTCCGCTTCAAGGCTCTCGCCAATTTCAAATAGATGATAGTTGATGCAATCTGTTTTGGTCGCGATGAAAATAGTAATACGGTTATAGTTCCTTCCAACGTCTTCCCTGTATTTATTAAGGACGAATTGTTCAGTTGTTCCTGGTAGTGTAGTGTTAGTCGAACTATTTAATAATATAATACTTACATTAACGATGTACAGCTTTATATACAAGAGTGTTATATGCATGCATAATTAAGTACATTACATAATACTACACCTCCCTTTCTAAGTTCTAAATATTAAATATATAAAAAAACAAACTAAAGTCTAAGTGTTCAAATAACTACCACGAAAGTTTTTGACTCTTACGGTTATACATTATAATTACTACATATTTTTTTTTGTCTTTTTCCTTTTGAAAAGTATGATAATAGGATATGTTAATGTTCAATTACTAAATATTAATATCTAATAACTAATGCTAGTATACCAGTCTATCAGGTGGTGCAGATAGTCTACCTGATCTTGTATAATAACCTGGATTGTTCTCTGGCACTGCAGCTCCTGATGTAGTTGATGTGGCTTCTTGCAGTTCTTCTCGACTATTCTTTGAAGGGTCTTCGATCAGATGTCGTCGATTTCGTTGAACAGTTGTTGTTGGGGTTTTAACCACATACGAGCGAGGGGTTTCAAACTTATTGATAATTGTACCCGACTCTTTACGATCTGGAATCCACACTGGACAATCAGGTTCAATTTGCTGTAATGTTTTCACTTTATTACGGAAATCGTAATTCTTCTTCTGTCGTTTCTTTATTCTTTCTTCCTTTTCTCTGACAGCTACGAGATAAGACCAAGTAGGGACAAGGTGCTGTGATACAACTGGAAGAGTCGTTTGAATCTTTCTTCCAAATAAGAGTTCAGCAGGACTATAACCATTCTCGAGTGGAGTGTCTCGATACGACATTAAAGCAATATACGGATCTTTCAACTTTTTAAGAAGACTTTTCACCGTTTTTACTGCCCGTTCAATTTTACCGTTGGCTTGAGGATATTTTAGACTGCTGTCTGATGCTTGAATCCATAACTGGAGGAGAACTTTGAAAATTCAACTGAACTAAATTGAGGACCATTATCTGATATAACACGTTCTGGAATTCCATGTCTAGCAAAACAAGACTTCATATGCATAATTACACTTGTAGATGTAATACTGTTTAACTCATTAACGCGCAAGCTGTTACTATGTTTCTACCCCCAAAGTGGACAAGCAAAATGGCGAATACGTGATTGAATTCAAGAGCTTTCACCAAAATGGCAATATCTCAGAAACAGTTGCATGAAAAAATCTGGTCTTTTCAACCAAACATTATTGATATATGATTGACCAAATTTAGTTTAAATGAACTTGCATACCTATATATATCATTAGTTTTTTCAATGAGAATTTTTATTTGTAAAGCAGTGACATTTTGTTTTTCATGTCACTCATCACCTAAAGGGGCAATATCTCTATAAATTTATATAAAAATAGGTACGCAGTGCGTACATGTTGCATGCCATCTGAAACTTAGCCTGAATACAGACCTTCGTTTTGCTCATCCTAAAATTCGCGGGTGGGAGGCACAAAACGAAGGTCTGATGAAAATCATGTCAAAACGCTGTGAAATCCGACCACCTGGTGGTCGGAATAGCTGATTGACTAATTCACAGGGAAATTGGTTGTGATTGGTTGGTCGCTAAACATGAAAAGATTTGAAAAGATCAGAATATATTTCAACGGTATTCTCAACGCATATACTATGCATACAGTGTAATATTCTAAATATTTTGTGAAGCCGAACGACAAATAGCTAACAGTATCTACCGTCTAAAATGAAAACTAGGGCGAGAGTAGAGCAGACTTGTCAAATACTTCAGCGTTGTGTCATTCCATTGTAATATAGGCCTATAATACAATAATTTTTACACTATTTACGTTTTGTGATAATCATAATAAAACTGATACAATTATACACATAGGCCTATGTGTCAGTGCAATAGTACGTTTAAATTTGCGTTTCGATAACATAGCACGTACAAAATATTTTATTTAGATTTTAGCATAGCATTGTATAGTGGTTTCAAAATGTATAAATTGTAAGAGTTCGGTCCTGTTTGGATGCAATTCAACAATGGGACATGGCCATTGCCAAATTTGCGTACGCAGATTTTATTGCATTTATAGAATGTGTTGAAAATGTATTATTACTAGCTGTAACTGTTTGGGTGCAAGGGTTAAGAGTACATAAAAGCAACATACTGCATGGGGTTACCAATATTTTTAATATTTATTCAAACATTTGTAATATCGACTCTTACTTTGTTTACAAACTTTCAATAAAGTGAACCGACAACTTTCGTTGTTGTTAATTATTGCAAAATGCAAAGTGGGCGGTAGAGCGTTTTGACATAATTTTCATCAGAGTGATCAGACCTTCGTTTTGCGCCTCCCACCCGCAAATTTTAGGGCGAGCAAAACGAAGGTCTGTATTCAGGCTATCTGAAACTTCAACCTGATACTCAGGGTTTTTACTTCCACTCAGGGTTTTTACTTCTGCTAAGAGTGAAAACCCTGAGTATCAGGTGGCTGAAACTTATGTGCTATAGCGCTTATAACCTTTGGTACAACTGGTGTGAAACTTAAAATATTGATTCAATAAGTTTAATATCAATATATTTAATGAAAAATAGCTATTATGTCAAAATAAGAAAACTTAAGATTCTCACGCGAATTAGCCAACGGTGCAGACTCTAGCAGAAACACACGAACAGGCAATGTTTTTATAAGCGACCGTTAATAGTTAGTTGCAAGCGACGGTAATAATAACATTAACAAGGTCAAAGTGGGTCAAGGTTTTATCGAAAGCGATTGACTGTTAGATTTCCTTTACAATTTAGCTTTATATTTGTAACTTTGTAAAGGTATAAAAAACCCGTGGAAATGGTGAATTACTAGATTGAAAATGATTATTTATCATTTTGACGTTTGAGTGATTGAAATGAGTTAACTTACACTACATCGAACGTCATGTTGATTGTCATGTTGAACCGTATGCGTACTTCACAATGGTTGCTACTTCGTTGTATTAAATTTCAATAGTATTAGCCTACTATTTATAATTCAAATTTTGTTTGATATTTATATTCCATGTTATTTACAAAATGTGCTGTAGTTTTGAAGCTTTGTGCACAATATAATCAGTGCAAGCACAATGGCCCCCGTTTCAGTTTGAGTATATAAAAATCGAGTATTTTGATAGCGTTGGGCTTGATATATATATAAAATATAAATGCCTCAGTGAATATTAATCTGCAGGGCGAGCACAACGGCTCCAAAATCACGACAAATAAAAGAATATAAGGTAAGTTAAAAACAGTAAAGCTTTACCTACCTCGATTTAATTTTTCTAAGGCGCTCAGTTATGTAAATTTTGGGGCGAACTCGACGAAAACCAGCATTAAAAGCTCGTCGGAAAAACTCGGTATTTGTCGTATTATACGAATCTGCCACGTGACTGGTACGCTCACTGCTCACCGCCACCGCGACACGAAATTTAGAGCTATATGAAAGTTGCATGCCATATATGGCATGCAACAAAAACAAAAAAAAAATTATTCACTAAATTAGTACAAATCTATTTTATAGCCAATTTTCATCTATTGGGATATGAATTAGAAAATGATCAAAAATTATGAAATATACTCCTTTGCTTTTTTGGGCAAGATGTTTACAACATGAAATTTAGAACAGCAACTAAGTGTTCAAATTCAACAAAGTGTGCAAGCCAAAACACAGTGCTTGTACATCTTTCAAGTTTTTAATTACCTCAAATATATTTATAAGGACATATGGTACTAGAATCTATTTATTTTCAATATAAACCAAGGATGGGAAAGTGAGAAAATAGGAATTTTCTGAGGTGTTATTTACACAGACAATGACAGCCGACATTTTCAAAGGCAAATTGTGGTGACAAAACCAAAAGCTATTAACCTCTCTACTCAAAGCACTGAAAAACACCATAAAAAGAAAAACATTTTAAACATACATCAGGTAAGACTTTTAGCTCAATTTTCTCATGTTTTTGTTGGAAAAGCAACGGTATTTAGCCAAAATATAATGACGGTTTGTCATGTGATATTCTTTATCCAATAAAATTTATTGAAGAAAAATACCGCTAAATACCACATGCAAACCGCAAACTCATGACAACAAATATGGCGTCCAAAAAAAGCAAGAAAACCTCAAAGAAAACCGAAGGACAGGGCAATTTTACATGGACTGACGGACGAAATTGAGTTGTTGCTTGCGGTTATTTACGAATATAAAAACAGTAAGGAATCAGAGGGATTCAACTGGGAGTCATTTAAGACAAAATATCCTCGAAATCAAGATGCAGACGATCAAAGAGAATTCCCTTTGGGAAAGGGAAAGAATCCATCCGAAGTGTTAACAAAGGAGCGAGTTGTTGCCAAAATAAAAGCTTTGTGATTAAAGTACCGAAAAGCTTTAGATTCTGGTAGAAAGAGTGGAGGTGGAAGAGTTGTTGCTCAGTTCTATGATATATGTTCAAAAATCTGGAGTGGAAGTCCTGCAGCGGAGGCAATTGAAGGAGGTATTGACAGCAGCCTTACGTCAGAAAACACAACAACAGAAACAACCAATGATGAGTCGAGTATTCCACCAGAACCAGTACAAGCTCCGAATGATGCTATGTCAAGCGATGAAAGTGAAACTAGCACACAAGGTCCTGATCATCATCGAAGAGATCTAGTGAAGCATTTACAGGAAAGCAGAAATGCTAAGCTCAAGAAAAAAATTCCAGTTGGCAAACAGATACTTGACATAACAAAAAAGGATTTTGAGCTGAAAAGAGAGATGTGGAGCACATGAAACATATGGAAGCTGAACATAACAAGCAAATGTAGGCTAGGATCATGAAATTCCACGTTTCTCGATGCCACGCTCGGCCTTTTAGTGTTCCAAGGTTGACTGTGTTGCCTACGAACGACTTTAGAACTTCTTCTGTTCGCTCGTCATCAACGGGTAAGTTTATGGCAAGATGATCTATATCGACATCTTCCTCTTCGACATTTCTCTTAAGAAAACGCGGATTTTCTTCTTGAAAGACGAAATCTGCCATCTAAAGAAGATATTTTAGGATTTTTAAAGATTTTTTTGAATTTTTTTTTTTTTTTTTTTTTCAAATTTCATCCAGTTTTTTTAAGCCGCAATCGCAGGTCGACAATATCAACCGCAGCCAAATGGTCAATTCCAACAGCATGTCCAACCAGGTGCACAATATCAACATCCAATAGGTATAGTTCAATATGCATTATGTCACTCTATGACTAGTGCATGGTACAAAATATACCTACAACTTTAGAGTTTACTTAGTCAAATGTTAAATTATTTTAATCACCTTATGCCCTTTTCACTATATATACCAGCAAATGAAAATTCCTAATATACCACCTTATAAATGCAGCTGGAGTAAATAATTTTTTGTCATTAATTTGCAACAGGTAGCCAGTATCAACAGCCAGTCCAATACATGCAATATGGTAGTTTTCAACCTTCTGTAATTAACCAAATACCACAGCAACAACATCTACAGCCACTTTTGAACCATGCACAGATCACAGAACTAGATTATCAGATGGAGCAAGGGGGAGATCAACATGCATAGCAATTGTTTTGTGAAAGTAACCAGATAATCAGATAATAATCAGATAAGTTGGTAATATCAGGTATAATCATATAATAATCAGATAAGTTGTTCATGTTATGTTTTAAGCTTTTCATTCCAATAGTTTGGATATTGATAAAGATTGGATAATACATATAGTTAACAAAACAAACATAATATAAATAAATATTGATATTTTGTAGACATTTTAAATGTTATAAGTTTTTTTGAAAATACATTTTATGTATGTACTTGTTCAATCTCCAATTGATGGCATATTAGTCAAAATACTTAACATAAATGTCTCGTACTTTTTTGCCAGCTGCCTCATTGTTTCCAGTAGTGCATCTATTTGCAGCACATGGTCGCTGATGTTGTCTTTCTGATGTGATTGCTGTTTGTATGAGGCCATCATGCACTTGTTCTCTGTTCAGCTCACAAATATTGTGTAGTACAAAACAAGAATGAATAACCATTGGTAGTTCTGATAGTTTGATATCCATAGGTCGACGTAGTGAACCAAATCTACCTTTTAGTCAACCAAAAGCACATTCTATTGTCATTCGAGCAGATGACAATCGATAACCAAAGAATTGTTCACTAATATTAGATCCTCCGGCTGGGAATTCTTTCATGACGTATGGAAGAACGGGATAGGCAGGGTTTTTTTATGTATTTTCCCCTATGTACAGCTTTGTTAATATTTACAAATATTTTCCTAATAATATTGGGCTAGGGACCTACTAGAAACCCTAACAGGCTTTTTAATTTAGGCCCCTAGTTACAGTTCATTGTTATCTATTAATTAATATATTTACAGTAAAATCAGAAAAACAATTATCTTAGAGTGTATTATTTACAAAAGGAAGGAAAGAACTATAAAGCAAAATAATTACAATACAAATATACATCACATATAAAGGGTCACCAAGTATACAGACGGGAACAGCATCCTCTCCTTCCACAATAATTTTGGGACAACTAGGTATTATATTCTCACACATTTTTTTGCTCAAACTACAGTTAGCAAAGATTCGAGCATTGTGAACAGCCCCAGGCCATTTGACTACAACATCAGTG